GGGGGGGGGGGGGGGGTTTCATTTCTAGCACCCTCTATCCCTTCAGAGCCCTAAGAACCCCCTCTCCTTGACTTCATTTTCATCCTCCACTTTATCTTGCCCCCAACCTTAAAAACTTAAGTCATGACAGAAAGAAACTTGCTCTGTTGGAGCTGAAGTGGAAATACCCATTAAAAAAAAAAAAAAGGAAACAAGCTCTATGCTCAGCATAAGTATGACCTCCCAAAAGTCAAATGAGAGAACTGCTCTCTAAATAGAGAGCCCCTCAGTCCAAACATTGCTGGGACAGATTTCTCACACTTCCATCCAACTAACATTCTTCTAACTCAAAAGAGGAACGTTTCATAGAAAGGGGGTTTTAGGGATCCTGCAATGTAGCCAATTTAACGAAGTAGTTTGCAGGCTCCACATTGCTTTATTTGAAACAAACATTACATCATCCTGCATGTGAAACACCACAAAAGGACTATGGTGAGGGCTTATCTTTTTGTATACCGTTTTATTTCTTGGCAGGCCGATCTCATTAGTACAGAGTTGGAGCTCTTGCTAGAAGCCCAATACTATTTCCATTAAAATCAATGGCAAAGCTCCCAAAGACTTGATGCAGCAAGATCAGTGCTAGGAGAGGTGGCTGCAACAGCAAACAGCCCTGGTCAGTAAGACAGGGATGAAAATACATACTGATAATTAGGGTTCAAACTGCTTAGGTTATGAGACATATTCCACAGTGGAAAGCTCGGCATTAAAAAAAAAAAGGTGAGTTCTCACTAATAGAACTGAGGTGTTCAAGGATTTCATTTTAGAAGAGAAAAGCCACATGTGCATTGTATGCAATGGGCCCTGTTGCTCTTTGTATTTATCAGTTAAATTATTATGCTCAACATACAATGTCCAACATAGGAAGTTAAACCAGCTGTGCAAAGCTCTGCACAAACTGATGGTTTCAATGGCGCCTAACCAGGTAGTGAGGGCTAAACATAATGAGCATAACAGGAAGGTTACTGCAACTGCTTTAGTCTATCTAAACTCCATCAAAGTACCCTTCCTAGTATGCAATCCCTGTACACCACAGCTCTCACCCTGCCATGTTCCAGCTTGATCCAATCAGCACAACTTGTATCATCCACAGGCCATGCTTCTATAAGGAAAGACAGCATGTGCAAACCAGACTTGACCTGCACTTTGGCAACCTAGTTTAAGCAATTAAAAGATCATAGGAATTGGATGGATGATGCAAGGAGAAGGCAAAAAAAAAGTAATGAAATAATTACTAAAATCTAATCTTTAGATATACTTTGTTTCAAGGAATATTAGGCATGTTGAAATCATGTAATTATATCATCCATAGACCCCTTATCTAGCTGACCCCTGTTGTGACAGCTGTAGTTTTAACTGAATTATCCATTTAAAAGAAATCAACTAAAAAGGGGACAAGCAAGGTGTATAATAGATCTAATGAACCATTAGCAGCCTGACATACCTCAAGGCTAAGAAAATTTCAATCAACTGAGTCACAGTTCTCAATTTTAGAAAAAACAGATAAGAAAGGAGAATGGAAAACCACCTGTATTTGTAAATGTAGTTAGATTATAACAAAGAACTAACAGCAAACAAAGATGTGAGGAACACTACACATGTTGGAAGCAATATCAACATAGCGAGTTTGGAGGGAGGATTTTTAAAAGCAAGACTGAAGACAGCCACTTCAACAATAAGAAATCTAATTATAGTAAAGAGGGACTGGAAACAATGGATCAAAAGCTGTTACAAAGGATTGTCTGAGCATCCCCTAACATGATGCCTAGAGCCAGGGAAAAACAGACATAATTGTATCTTGCTGTTATGGAAGCTTTTAAAGAATGACTTTGCCTTTTTAGCATAATAAATTAAAACCTGAATTTCAAACCCAAGAATCATGTGTTTTGCACAGCTGTATTAACAACACACATGAAATACAATTGTCAAATGGACCCAAGTTCTTAAATCACTTAAGTCAGTTTAAAAAAACCCAAAAACTCAGACTTCTAAATCCCACTAAGGTCCAGTGAGACTTCAGCACTGAGTCACTTATATGCTTTTGAAAATTATACCATCCATGCTCTCTACCAGTAGTTAATAGTTAATTCAAATGCTAAAATGAATTTACTATCAGAAATTCAGCTATAAAACTGCCATTTTGATGGATTTGGAAGAGGAAGAAACTAACAGAATCTCATTACCAGCTCTTAAACTGGCATTCTTACTGCCAGCCCACTGTCAAGAGCAGCAGCAACCTGCAGATCTAAAGTTCCCTTAAAGACAATCTAGAAGCAGGCTATGAACACAGGGATATTATAGTTTCACCACTTCCTCTGACTGATCTATTTGCATGTTATTCTTGACTGATATCAGTCCTTTACCATACCTACAGCATACATTACACCTGATAAAGTTTATCTAATTAATCCAGTGTAAGCATATTGGTAGAGGGTAGTTATTTCAAATTTCACAATCAAATGCAATGATTTTAGCCATTCTTGTCAATGAAACCAGCATTGTAAGACAGACTTTTGTATTTATATAAAGCAGAAATAATTTCAAATCAATACCAGATACTGACAGGGCATTCTTTATACAGCATGTCCCAATTTATTTACTCTAATTGGAAAAGGCACATTTCTCTCTTCATCTAATAATATTTCTGAAAAAAGCATTTTTTGACAAAATGCCGCTACAACTGGTTCTGCATGGACAAACCCTGTGCCAAACAAAGCTTTATTGAGTCCAGTGGGGCTGTGCCCTCAGGGATTTTTGCAGGTTTGAAGCTTGGGTAATTACTTGAAAATCAGTAGGGTAAGATTTCCTACCACACAAAAATTAAATGAGATGAAAACAGCATGTCTGAAGTGGCTACCTTCTTTCATTTACAGGTGTCACAGCTAACTAACAACAAGTAAATTTGGAGCCATGATTTTCAAGCTGATGTTCCTTTACAAATCGCTTTTCTCATCTCAGATGTTAGTTCAGCAAGAGATTATCGGCATCTAACAAAATAAGTTTTAATTTGTGCAACTTTGTTGAAGCATATCAGATTGAAAAGAACCTTCCCAGCCATAACAGGCTTTACACTGTTTTTTTTATTTTAATTTTTTGTGCATGAATAACCTGCTCCTGCACTTAGCTGCTCACTATAACTACAACACTGTAAGACAGGAACCAGCCTGCTTCCTCTGTCCATGCAGCTATAAGCCTAATTTATGTTCTAAATTCCAAGTCATTCACATGAATAGCTTGTGCTTCTGGGAAAGACTAGACTGATATGTGTAGGGCCTCCAGCCACCTTGGCACGCGAGCCAGGAAGAGAGCGGATCTGGCCGCCTGCAATTTAATTCTGCCTGTCAAAACCATTGGACGCCACAACAAACTTAACACTTCAATTCAGCACCGTGTTTACTTAAAGCTGACTGCGAAGCATTAAACAGGCCTTCTCCTTCAGTTGTTTTTGTCTCCACACCGTTTTGTTTATGCACTCCCCATCCGCAGCCCCACCCAGTCCCTGCACATCCTGGTCTGATCTCTCATGGCCCTATCCAGGCTAGTGATACCACAAAGCACAGGGACGCCTGGGGATGGGGCAGCTATTTTCCTGTCCCTGGTCCATTCACATCTCCAGGCGGTTTCACTGGGCAGTGTCCACTGGCTCCTTGGACGCATCTACAAGCCAGTAGGCGCTGCCTGGGGGAATCTGCTCAGTACCCCGCACCTGCTTGGGCCTCTCGCTCTAAACCTCTCACCTTCACTTCTGTCCCTATTATATTTGTCCCAAGTGATCAGCACCATGCTCTCAGCAGCCGGCTCACTAAGGGGACCTTGCAGCTCTGCAGGGTAGGCCCTGCCTGTGGAACAGCACATCACCGGGGGGGAGGGGTTGCATCTGCCTGGCACAGCAGAAGCCTGGCCCTGCCCCTTCTTCACCCTGCTCGTAGAAAAAGGCCCCGGACTAAATTACCACCCCCAGAAGAAACCACTGTCCCGAAGGCCGCACCGAGCCCCGGGCGCTCCTCACTTCAGCAAAAAACAAGGCGACGCACGACCCGGCCCCGGCAGTACCTTGGTGGTGCGGATGTGCTCCATGCCGACTCCTCGGCTCCGACCCCGCGCCAGCCACAGCTCCCGACCCGGCTGCCGTCACCTGGAGACACTTCCGGGGGGAGCGGCCGGAGGAGGGGCCGGGGCGGAGCCAGCGCCCGAGCCCGCGCGGCGCCCCCTGC